AGTCATATACTAAACATTAAATCTCAATTTTTAAAAATGCAGGAATAAGAGAGTCACTGGGTAGGCAGCAATTTCCATAGCCAGACCAATTTCTCCCTGACAAAACCGAACTAAAGCATTACAGCAGGGCTGGAAAATATTGCAGATGCTCATAATCATCTTTTCACAGATGATTATGTGAAAGATATTACTGATATTATTGTAGTATCTTCTAACAGTGGTAAAATAAATTACAAAATGGCAAGCAACAAACATCAGGACAGTTATTTGGTTAAGCAGGCCAACAGCCTGCTTCATTTATTGCAAACACTACAATAAAGTGTATTTAAACCAACAGACATTGGTTAGAAAATGGTTAGTTCACTATACAGTTTGAGGGGAGAGAAAGAAATCCATCTGCGACCCCACAAAACATTAAGTGTTTAAGCTGAGCAACAGATGTGTCAAACGACTTATCCCTACCATGAGGAGTTAATTGATGCTCTAAATAGTACTGTGCAGAACACAACAACAAAAAAACTTCTTAGTTCTCATATCCAAAGCACACAGGCTAGCTTTGCTTATCAGTAAGACTATTTTTATTTAAAGAAGTGAGCTTGTATGTTTTACATGTAGGTCAACACAGAGAGATAATTTGATTTCAGGCTATTGAGAGATTTCCTTCCTTCTACGTTTCAGAAGAGCAGGGCTGCATGCTGCTAAATGAGATCTGTAGATTACAGTAGAAGAAAGGCTAATAAAACTGCATAGCTACAGTCCTGGGTAACAACGGATGTTTTGCAATTCTAGGGCTCCAGTCTCAGGGTTTATGAGAGCATCTCTTATAATGCTTTTGAGATTAATGCAATTAAATGCATCAAAAGGGAAGAGATTTTTTAACCCATCTAAATAAAATAATTAATATATCCCTTATTTGTCTCCAATTTGACTCCAATAAACATTTGACTCCATTTGTCTCCAATTTGACTCCAATAAGCATTTGACTCCAATAAACAAATTGGCACTGCTAGGAAAATCACAGTCCCCGAGAGCTCAGAACAAGCATCTTACTGGCAGTTTTCTTACAGCTTACAGGAGAGAAAAAGAATCCTTCTCCTGTTTTTCTGAACATGCATCTTGCTTAACTCTTTCCTACTCGTATCTAGTGGTTTGTGTGGCTTCTCTATTGCCCCCACCATGGTACTGGCAATATCAGTATAAACAGCAAAGAAACAATGTCAATATTCATATTTAATTCTTGAAGCTACTAAATCAAGCAAATTTTATTATCGGCTTAACCAACCCCACTGCATTACTCTCCCTTATTTCAGCCTCTCTCATTGAAAATAGAGCCAGATTTAGACCTCACATTGCTTTAAACCAGGAATAATATCAATGAAGAGGAGATTAAACCAATACGAAAAGAGGAAAAGAATGAGAATAGAAGAGGAGAAGAGGAGGACCACTAGCTTTAATTCTCCCCAGTAACATCAGTCTCACGCTAAATGAACAGCTTCTTCCACCAGGCTAAATCTGGAAGCCCAAGGCACGAAGTTACACTACACAGACCAAAACTATGTATCTGCTTTCTTCAATTTTGTGTGTAGATTCAAAGATGGGATAGACAGACGCTTCACTATTTCAGTGTCTGTAAATTTAAAATGCAATCCAAGTTCATTTTACCCTTGTAACTTTAGGATGCAATCCAACTTTGTCCTGATTAACACTACAGCTAGTCCTGCAAGGCAAACATGCATTTGAGAGCTAATAATTAATATCTGAGTGAAATAAAAGTACCAAGCTCATCTGATGTCTTGAATAATCATCTGGTTTATGCATAAACACTATAAAGACAGGAAAAACAGATACATTTTAATTGACAGTCTCAAAGAGACCCATCATTCCATATGATGAATTTTGGCACATAAACATCTCTAATGTTGCCAACAGACCAATCTTTGTTACATGTTGCAAAAACATCCTGCTCCAGAGCATAACCGCCTGTCTGAGGGGCAGAAACAATGTCACAAGAACTGCCAATTAACTTCTGTGTTCTCAGGTGCAAGAGAGGGTTGCATTTTCAAAGCAGAAATCTTTACAACGGGTAAGCACTGAAGTTCTATCAGGCAAGCATATTGGCTTCTTCGGGATTATATTTACAGCCAAACTGAGCCTTCAGAGAGCAATGCTCAGGACATGTCTTGTTCATATCACTGAGTAAATCAAGAAACCATAGTAACCCCATTGATTAGTCCAAACTCAAAACGTTCTTTATTTATTTAGACCTTTCACTTGCATGAAACAGAAATACAGTGCAGTGCCTAGTCTGCAAGACTTGCCTTCATATATTTATCAAAATCAACTTCTATTACATCACTGAAAGCAGTGATTTTCACAGCTCAGACTAATATGTTCATTTTAAGACCTTTCATTCATTTGCTTTAAACTCTACCAGAATTTAAACACATGGTCTGACATTTTCTATGATAGGTGTTCCCTTCAGGCTGAATTTCTCTTCTAGGAAATTTTCAGCCAGAATAATTCAACTGTTTCTCATATCAGCATTAGGGAAATTTTTGTGCAAGTTTCTCCAATTAATTGCCCAGAAGACACAGTCAAGCAGCCTGCTATCAGTCAGCAGCCCTACAGCTGCCAGCACAATGCAGGGGATATGGTGTCTCCCTTCTGCTTTGTATGCAGCTCACAGGGTGGCAGAAGTCACCGCAGCCTTGCAAAGGATCTGCTGCTCATCAACATAACATCCAAACTGAACTACCAGTGATTCTGCCTCTTCTCTATTATTCCTTTCCTGCCTATAAACCCTGTCCTGAATTTGGCCTTATCATAATCCTCCATTTAGACTCGAATGTCTACTACATTGAGATTACGCGTCTTCTGTAGTATTGCTCCTCTTGGGCATGCAGTTCAGAAAGGGCAAGGGAAACTTAATGCTTCTGCTGTTTGGCAGCCAAGTAAAAGAAAGCAAAGATTGAAAAGTAATGCAATACATGCATGTCCCAGAGGATAAATTCAGGTTTCCCAGATAACCCTAACTGTGACATTTCCATGTTTTTGCAACTTTATTTCCACTACTTATATTGCAAACATCATTAACACTAAAATATAGCAGAAATGAATTGAGCCTTAAAACAATCACAGTCATAAGGAGTAATGATAGAGATGGCTTGTTCAAACAGGATGCTGAATGGAGTAAAAATTTGCCTTCTGTTCTCTTAGTTCAAGACCAGAAATTCAGTAGTTATGACTGGACACTGCTACCAGCCCTGGTAAAAATGTTCATAGTTGAGGTGGTGGTGCTTCTTCTGTCCAAAAACAAAAACAGTAGCGTATCACAGTCTTGAAGACTTTCAAGTGCTATGCTTAAAAGTATTCCTGTTGCTGCACAGTGGGCACGTGAGCCTAAGCAAGGATCTGATATAACTGAATCCCGAGACTGCGCCTGATATAAAGTCAGTAAAAACTGGCTAAAGTATTGCATTTGGGGTGACTATCAGTTGTCTTTTGAAAGATCATTTTTCTTCCACAGAACCATAGTTAGACACTGACCTCATCTTATTTTTGTATCTTATGTGTCCTTTGATTAAATCTCCTTGTTTTTTCATAGCTTATGTTGTCCATCAATAACAGGTCTCCTTTCCAGGAACGTACTTATCACTATTGCCTACAGTTATTTGGAAGCAGAAATATTTCTTCCAGATCATTAACATCTGCTTCAAGAACCAACTTTCTATTTAAACCATTCCTTTTCAATAACCATTTGTTCATGACTCTGCTGAGGAGTGGGGAAAAATAATAAAAAAATTAGATTCTGCGTTAAGTGTCTAGCCACTTCAAATGTTTAAAACAAATTCCCTCTATTATTATATCAAAACCTATTACTGTTAAAACCGGAATGTCTTTCAGCTATAATAAACACTACTTTAAACTCATTTAATTACATTTATATAAGTAACAGATATAAGTGACAGAGATAAGTAGCAAACAGAACATAGACACTAAGCACAATGTAAACTCTGTTAAGAATACTTCCCACAAACAGCTTGAAAACTTTATATGGGCTATATACACCTTCTTCAATATATACCTACACTTTCTGACATATATAGAAGGGACAATGTTTTACCCCCAAAATAATCAAATGAGAATGGAAAGAACTTTCAAAAAAAAAAAAAAACAGAGATTTGAAATCAAAGAATTATTTTTAGAAGAATGCTTGGCTGAAACTATAATCCACCTATACTGAGAGAAAGAAAGCAGAACATAGAAATCAGTAATATTTCAGGAAAACAAACAGAGTGCTTTAATATTTAATTCCGTTATTCAACACCAAGGCCCCAGAGTTAATGCAAAGACACACCAAACTATTGAGGTGAATTCACAGTGGCTGAAAATGCTGCTGGTCATCCTCTAAGCAACCTGTCAGAAAGAGGACTGGCCTTTTGATCTCAAGACAGGCTTTATATGTGATTGGCATGGAAGGAACGGAGGGAAGAAGGACACATCATTGGGAGCATGACTCTCACTGCAAAAAGATAGTGATACAATTGTGGCTGCAGGAAGAAGTCATACATACAGCAGGACACATTTCCTGCTCTGGCCGGGGTGGTATTAAAATAAATGAGGATTTCCAGGGGAGGAGGAGATGGCAGACATGGAACAGGGATGCTTTAAATGAAAAGACAGAAACTATTCTTACTTAGCACTTGAATTTCAATATCACCTCAGCTCTCAAAATAGTATGGTATTACAGAGGTTCATGTCTTAGTTCCACAGTTTTAATATTTATCATGGCTATTTCCTTTTTTCTGTTCTTCTCTCACCCTACCAGTATTTTAAGAATAGTTTAATAGGCCTTTACCAGGATGTAGAGTAATGAATGTCTGAGAGGTTAATGATAATTTAAAACAATAAAAGGGCAATGGGTTATAAACATAATAATGACAAAGCAACAAATTACTGAAGAGGAACAGCGTATGTAAGCACCTGCAGAATTACAATACCTTTTATAGTGGTCCTTTCTTGTAGTGGCTTTAAGACAGAAATTCTCCCTTGGGTTGATGATAACTCTGTCAGAAAAACAAAGAAACATGACAAAAATTACATTTTTATTCCATGTACTGGGAGGAGGGTAGTATGTTTACATAACTGATAACATTTACATAATACAGTGGAAATCCATCAGTTGTAGGTGCCCTTGATCTTCCTTCGCAGCCTTAGTCATGCTGGTGTTACAAGAAGGTGATGTTCCACCATCACCTGAGATGCCAGGAAAATCCCTCAGAACTTTAGTACAGAAAGTAAGTAGCTACTCCAGTCCTCTTGATTTCTGTCCAAGTACCACCCATATGTGCATGTGTCAAACATTTGCATACTTAGAACTTCAATCCAAAATATAATTAATTTACCATTGAATCATAGATTTAAAAGGCAAAAATGTTTCCTTCAACAAAATTATATATTTCTGATGCAAGATGCATTTCTTTGAATCCTAATTTCTTCAGCTTTTGTCTCATAACATGCATATGGCCACCTCCTCCAAGTAGGCTAACTTCATGTATTTTATTAAAACGTTCCCCATTTTTAAAGGAAGAAAATAATTTGATTTACGTTTAGTGTCTCATGGTGCAATCAACAACTACTGAAATAATCCTTTGCTTGATTTATTCTTCTTCCTTTCTCACCTGCATTTTTTCCTTTAGTTGTTCAAGGTCAGGAGGACAGGCAGCCTGAGGCATTTGCCTTGAGTTGGGACATGCTGGTTAAGTCCCAGATCCACTATAGCCTTCATGTATGGCTGTAGGCTATTTAACCTTTTCATATCATGTAATCTGGGAAGAGACCCCATTTTCCTACCTCACAAGATCTTGTAACAGTAATACAAAAAAGACCACCCTACTCAAATCACCTTTAGCACTGCACTACTTATATACTGCAAGTATCCTGATAGCATTTGATCAAAATACAAATAATAATAATACTGATATAGTAATAAGGAAGATAGTAGGAACAATTATATCTGAAATAAATATTCCCACTGTGTTGCCTGCTCACTCTCTTCCCATTTCTCCTTTGTGAGATTTACCAGATAGGAGTCTTAAGAATTTAAAGCAATATTTAATGGCCATGTATTTGCAGCTGAAGACATACAAAATCTCAAATTCTTGGCTGGAAAAGATGTGCCGCAATCAAACTCTCTCTTTTGCTCAAAAGTCTCTGCATAATTGCCACGTGCAGGAGGACTGAACGCTGATGTTAGAATCAGTTCTGAGAGAACTGTGATTAGCTTTCATTCTTTCTTCATGCTACTTTTATGCTCCCCATAATTTAGTGCTTTGAGCTCCTCTTATTCTGCAGAGCATCACCTTAGCTTTATAGCAGGTTGGCCAATAAAACATGGTCTAACATGGTAGTAAAAGCAAGTTTAGGACTAGATTCTGAGAATGTTCTTTTTTTTGGACCTTGATACTGAGGGTCAACATTAATGTATAACTGTATGGTAGAAAATAAAGTTGCAACTTTCTGAAGATGGGTCACTCTTCTATGACATAATCTACCAACATCTGAATTTTAGACAGTTTGAGGTTAAGCCAATATTTTGCAAATAGCAATAATAATAATAAAAAAATAAGCCAACAAAGACCTAATATTTTCCACCAAGTTAGTGATTACATTTTTATGTTTCAATGGAATATACAAGTCTGCTTATGGGAAAACTAAGCTGAAGCTTATGAATCTTCTAAATTCCATTTACAGACAGACAAGGTTCAATACAACCATTCTCCATTCTTCTCCATTCATTCCAAACTTAGTGAAAAAAAGATCAGATTTTGAAAGGAAGAAGAGGCCTGAAATGGCTGAAGTAGGAACACGGCGTATGTTCAAAATCAAAAGTTTAAGGAATGCTTTGCTGCTAACTCTAAAATGAGGAAGATGTAAAAAAAATATATGTATATCTCATATCATTTGTCTCTTCAGATAAAAAATTATTTAAGAACCTAGCATGGATAAATATAGGTGATCCAGACAAGACTACGGGAGGCTAAATTGCCAATACAACATATCCATTCTCTGGATAAAGCAAAGAGAGGGGTCAGCAGGACTCTGGATATAATTCAGAATCACACGGGCTACCTCCTCCTGCAGGATGGGCACTATCTACCTTGCCTCCTGTGAAAGCAATGGTCCATAACATGCCCTCTGGGTTACAGAAAATCAGCTGGATCAGCTAACGTTGACAGACATCCTCATCCTCGTCACATTCACATGGGTGCAACATTGCTGACGTTGGAGAACCAAGGGTTGGTTTATATTGGCAGATGTGAGCTAAGAGCTTAAGCCCAAAATCCTGGACAGCCCAGAGCTTGTTGAAGCTCATGGCTATATCTCAAAGTCCCTTTCTCAGGCCTTGGCTGCTCTCCATTTGATAACACGATCTGTACCAAGGGGAGAGGGGTGAAGGGACAGAGAAAGAAATCATCAGCTCGCAGCACATGACATTTAATAAAATGCAATCTGTATTTCATTATAGAAATGCTGCTCCATTTCAGTGAAATACTTTTATCACATATTTTAATCAAGTATCTTACTGCTCTCAGATGAGAAAGGTGGAGAAAAATCTGTAATGCTTTTTCTAATTGCTTGTTCTCTCTCACTTGTAACTAATTACCCTAGTCACACTGTTAAGAGATTGAGCGTTTTTACATTCACTCACCAACTATTGTATTAAAAAAAGATAATTAGTCTCTAGTTCTAATAATTCATTCAAATAAATATCTTTGAAAAAAGAAGCTACGAGAACATCAAGACACCGACACTGCAAAACACATGAGAAAATCAAACATCGCAAACAACTTGCTACATTCAGTGACTCCTACAACTGCATCCCAACCATTACTTGTTCTTTTCCTACTCCAGTTAACATAATTAGTTATTAAAACTTCTTTCTAATATGGTGAGAATGTGAGAAGCTTACTGGAGTATAAGAAAGCTCAGGGCCAAATTTTGATGCTGCACCATCACAAGTGTACACAATAGTGACAGACAGCATTTTTACACAAACAGCATGATGGAAAGTAACGTAGCAATCTGACCTACCATTCCTTTCTTCTAAGGGCTTATTTTGCATCATCTGCTAAGCCTGGACTGTGCTTTTTCATACACTCCGTCATACCCTCTTGGATCCTTATTCAGAAAGCTTCTGAACACGCACCGGCTACTTGAAAAGTATTACAGGGTAACCAGTTGTGAGATGCAGCCCTTGGAAAAGTAAAACATGGCTAAATCCACAGAATTCAGTGGACTTGACTGTCCTGCGGTTTACACAAAGACAGTGCGCTTAGTGGTGGCACGCAGATGGCGTTACACAAAGCCACTAATGAAATGCATTCTGTGCTCCTGAGCAGGTTCCTCACTTGTGCATAGAAGCAGGTGCAATTAAAACAGCCAAAAGTGAGGTGAATAGCAAAGTCTAAAGTGAGAGACAAACGAATACGGATAAGCAGGTGTGGATAGATAAGCAGACTACTTTTCAATTCAGCTGTAATACTACTATCAGCAAGCATCGCAAAATCTTGCTAAGGGCATGACTGCAAAGCCTGTATCTTTGGCTCCTTTTGTCGCTGAAATGAGCTTCTCTCTACACTTGTGCATTTTTGGCATTACAATGGCTAACGAAGAATTTGGCTCACTTAATTTATTTGGTAACTGAAAAATTATCTGCAGAATCACAGCTACAGCCCTCTCCGCACACTTTCAACCCGGAATCAGTCTCAAGGGACTAATATTTCCCTTGCTTACAGCAGGATACCACAGATGGCATAACTTCAATTAACTGAACAGTTACACCAATGGAAAAGAGCCCAGTGGAAAGGAGCTCACTTGCTCCAAAGTTAAATCTGTCTATCTATATTTGTTTTGTCTGTATTGATTGCAAGTAGCTCACGTCCTCCAACTGTGTATCTTCCTGGGCAGGGGCTTTGTCTCTGGCTCACAGATAAATCTCCATACATATGCACAGAGCTGAATAGCATTCTGTGTGCTGTATTTTTCATCTGCTGTGATTTACTTTTCCAAACCAAGAGACAAGGGGGTAAGCAGAAAGAATCTGAGGCTTTTTCTGAAGTTCTTTCTTCCTTTCCCTTATATACTCACTTGCTAAATTGCTATTTTATTCCATTGAGAAATCTAGGCTATTCTGACCAACAACATAGTTCTGCTTTTATACAAGCTTCCAGACAGCAAACATGAGGTACCTATTTGATACAGCTCAGTGTGTGGGTGTACACCCTCTGTCACAATTTGCACATAAACATACAAAATGGCCATGGAAAGCAAGGTCTGTCCACTTAAAGATGCGATACAAACACGGCAACTACACAACACACTTAATAGCAATACCGGACATTCATAATAATGCCTTTCATCAAAAGAGGCATATTACAAGCTATTTGATATTCTAATATTTATACTCAATTATTGCTACAAATTAATTTAAAACAACATCATTTCTATGCTACGTAGGAGTTCTGAGTTTCCTTAGGAATGCCTACTCGCTCTTAATTATAATGTGAATTGGTGCATTAATGTCACACAGGCCACCATTAATTAAATCAGCTGATACAAATGTGGACCAAGTTTGGGCAGGAGCAGTGGCAAAATGCCTAGAAAGTTACAGGAAGCCCTCTTAACAGCTCAGTCACCAGTTAAACATGTCTCCTGGATAGATATTCAGACCTTTCAAAATAAATGCTTTGGGTAATAGCAGTTTTTGGCAGTAAAAATATTACAACAGAGCGGGGAAACCCATGCATCAGTACGCAGACATGTCACAGATAAGAACTGTGGCTTTTTAAAATGTCAAGACTGAAAATGTACAACAGTCTATAAAATGTCACTCAAGTCATTATATGCAAACACCGTAAACCATTTATTAAGGAAATGATGTCTGAATTAACTTTGGAAAACTAGATGCACCTATTTCCTGTGCTACATTAGTTTATTGATGAAGAAATTGCATATTAAATAAAAAAATAGAACTACAAAAGTCAACATGTAATATTTCAATTTA